TGGGAAAACATATATGCGTTTATACATGTATGTCAATGCATAACAAATAATTTTTTAGCAAGACTGAAGATGATTTTGGTCTGTGGGAGAAATGAATCTGAATCTATCTATCTAAAAACAGCCTATTGCAATCATTCAAAACTAGAACCTCTTGGCGTATATATGTTAGTTGTACTCTTAAAATGCCAATTGCATTGAGAAATTCAAGATACGAAGGAAGGGGAACATTTACTTTCGTAATCCTGATTCAATTTAGGCATGAAGCATTTCAGTCATCAGAAGACTGAGGCAGTTCTGTGCAGAAGCAGAATTTCAATTACTTGAATAATCTTGCATTCCAAAATTGATGAAGCCAAAGAAGTCATCACGCATAGTTTTTGGAATCTTTTTGGAAGTACGAATCTTAGCCACCTAGAGTTTAGTGGAAACTATTTATATCACTTAAGTATTTCACAAAATTGTGTAGAAAATCTTTTTTTTTTTTTTTTTTTTTTTTGTCTGGCTTTCCTGTCTGGTAAGAAATTGCTTTACTAAGAAAATTGTTGAATTTCTGTATTCTGAGCAGTACCTTGCACAAACCCTCTCTCCTCAGTTGACTGTCCCTCTTGTTGTTAATGATTCTAACAGCTAATGATTCTAACAGCTTATCTTTGGTAAATAATGAAGATACAGGCTAACCTTATGGTATTATTTGGTAGTAATAATGAAAAATAAGCTAGGACAAAACAGAAAAAAATAACTATTCCGGGCTTGATCTGCTCTTGAGTACAGAATGTGGAACATCAACAAGAAGAGACAGAAGCAACAGATTACAAGGTGCTGGTGATAATTATATTAAAAAAGATGCAGCAGCAGTGGACACAGGGACCTTGGAACAAGGTGGTTTGGGGCCATGACATTGATTATTTTAACAGTATTGTTTTAACAGTATTGAATCTTTCAGGTGGAATAGGCATGTAATAAGATACTGAAAATATATTTTGGTTGTAATCACTGAAGAATCTTTCTGCTAATAAGCAATATCTAGAGAACACAAGTAGCATAACATGTGACTTTTCAGTCTTGGATTTTTCTTTTCTTTCTTTCTTTTTCTCAGATTATAAGAAGAACAGGCTCTCATTCATTTCACTGATATCCAAGAGGGAAAAAAAAAAAAAATCAAAAGTAGATTTTTTTATTATAAACTGATCTGCAATTTTTGTATTTATTATACACAGTAATTATAAAACATCCAAGAAATGTAATAATGTCATCTCAATTCCAATTTATATAGGAAAGGCTGTAAAAATCATATGGTCTCAGAAAAGATTATTAAGTAACCCTTGAAAGCTTTAAAAAAGCTTTCTGTATTTGAGCTTAAATAGAGCTGAAAATGTTGTGACTGTTGTTCTTTTCTGTTTAAGAGGTAAGCTGAAAAGTTAAATAAATATGATAGTCTGAAACACAGCTGTGGCCATGTTTGAATACACTGGTACTTAATGTCAGTGCCCCCAGGCAAAGAGCACTATTATTTTATTTTATTTTTATTTATGTTGAGAACACAAAGCCTCACTGATTTGAACTCATTGTCTTGACTCTTCAGCACTAAAGAAAGAATTTTCTGGCTTTAAGCAAGAGTGTTTTAAAGAAGCAGGTTGAAAAGCAGGTGGTCAACACACCAGAAGCTACTCGCTAATTGCAGCAGTAAGTTAATCAATGAAATAACAGTTTAGCTTCAGGGTACAATAAAAAGTGATAAAAGACCACACCATTAGGGTATGACTAGCTATTTAGTGGCATACATTATTTTTCTTCTTACACCTGTCTGCTTATGAGGACACAAGTCATGCACCTTCTTGTCAGCTATTAAAAGAATAAAATAATAGCAAAAAAGCATTTTGGGGTAAGACTCGATATAAATATTTACAAAGACAATTTAAAGGAGTATTTGTTATGCATTTTTGTGTTTGCTTTCAAAACAATGAACTCCAGAGACAGATGGCTTGTACAGTTTTATCAGCATTTGTGTCATTATGTATTCAAGTAGCCAAGACTGATAATCAGCCTTATGTATTATGAATTGTTCAGAGAACAAATACTTTGAAAAAAACATATCAAGAAAGTACTTCACTGTGGACAAAACTTGATAGAGAAAATTCAGCGACATTTTTATGAACACAAATTAATACAATTATAAATTTAAAGGATCAAGAACAGGTTTTTAAGTGGGGTCTTTGTATGTAGTAATAAAACAACTTCAGAAATTGAGTAAAAGCTACTATTCATCTGTGGTGGAGGAGAAAGATAATTATTATTATGTGAAAATTCTGCTTCACAATATAAAGCAGCCAACTCTTCAGAAGCTACCCATGGAAATGGAAGATTTCTCTTCTATCATGTGCTTCATGATCATTTTGCTTTATGCTATTGAATAACAACCTGAATGAGAGTCTTAGAAAAAAAATAAACCTTTTATAGTTGAGAACGTAACTACAAAAAAATCTGAAGAAAACCATATTGTTAAGTGTATATATATATATATATATTTATTTTTTTTTGTAAGTGAGGTCCTTTTTTTTTCTTCTCAAAATTTATTTTCTATCTTTTTTCAGAGTCTCACAGTAGGAAATTTTTAAAGTCCTCTCACTTGTCATCATTCCCACTATTATCAGTGATAGTTACAAAAACATTGGGTTTTTGTATCTAAAAGACTTAACTGGAAATGAGGTGAAAAGAGCACTGCAAGCATTATGAATGAAGCTGCCTTCTCCAGAACCAGTAAGCGCAGTCATGAGTAGCAGCTCAACAGCAACGTTATTACTTAAAAAAAAAAATCTTCTCTTAAAAAAAACAAAAGAAAACAAACAAGCAAACAAAATTAACAATATGGATTTATTTTCCTCGTGCCATGTCATAAAACAGAAGTAGTTAAATAAATATTTTTAATAACGTAAGAGATGATGCTTTGCATTTTGTGAACTTCAACTTCACAATATTTTAATGAGGCAAGTAAATTTTCCCTGCATTTTACAGAACAGAAAGCATGAAACAGAGTACTTGAAAATATACACGCTCACTTGAGTAGAAACCCAAACCTCTTCCCCAAGTCTGGGCAGGCATTTCATTCACAGACTTTTACGTCCAGGCACAAGTAGAAGAGTGTTCAGACTTGCACCAAACCCCATGGCTTTTTGAGTAACTGTTCCAATACAGCTAAAGGAATAGCACTGGGGCTGCCCTGGAGTTCCTAGCCCTCTAATGAGAGTGGAAGATCTCTCTACCCACAGCTGTCATTTGTCACCTACACCAATCAAAAAATAATAATCTGCGGAACTGACTACAATACATTGCTATGTGGCAACTTAAAAAAAAAAAAAAAAAAAAAAAAACTGAGAAAAAATAGCAATTATGAAATTAATTGAGATAAGTTGAGTGCTCAGGAAGGGACTTGTTATTGTGGGTAACTTATTGTACATGCATAGTGTACAAGAGAATATTCTTCAGCATTGTAATGCAGAAATCTTTGTTAGTGCCCTCACTTATTTTGCATCTCAATTCAATTGTTATAAACAATTGCTTTTTGCTGGTACATCACTGGCATTTTTCTTGATTTATACCACTTCTCAAGATGCTTTGTAACTTCACTTTTCCTTTCTCCCCTCTAAAATTCTTTCTCAAAAATCAATCTGTTGATTTCATGTTACTGGGCTTTTTAATCAAGGAAAAATGTCTCTAGCTCTTCAAATGTCTACAAAATTAGCTAGCTGATTTACTCTGGAGTTGAGAAAGGGTGTTTTAAAAATCTTGCTCAAAATTGCAGCACATTTGGAAAAATATATTTCAAATAGTGAGAAATATCTCACAAAGACACATGAAGTAGTTTCTCTACATTTTTTACTATCTTGTCCTTCCTCAAAAATCCAATCTGATTAGATGAACAAGTTCAGTCAGTTAGGAATACAGTATGACAGAGAGAAAGTTAGTGCTACTGAAGATATTGGTTACCTGTCTGCTAGACTGCAAGATGCCTTCAACTGGCCATCTGTGTCCTCAGTGGTGTGTCAAAGACAATGAAGATATTTAATATGCATAGTACATTACTAATCTTAATTTCAGTCTCCTGTGCTTTCACATTTCTGACTTAAACTAGTTATGAGAACAACTCTTTATGATGAACAAGATTTATATAACCTTCCTTTTTTATTTACCCTTGATTTTTATGGTTGCTGAGATGTATGTTAATGGTCAGAAAAATTACATTTTTTTACTTTGTTTTCTGTTGCAACACTTGAAACTTTTGCAAGATTTTCATGTTTTCACAGTAAATCCTGGAAACTTTAACTTGTCTCCTACTTTTTGGGAATATCAGAGCTTTATTTACTGGGTATATGTCTAAAGCTGTGTATTAACCTATGTTTGTACAATAGTAAAAATATAGAAACTTTTGGCATTCAGATAATACCCTTGGCAGACACATTTTCAGACAACAAAATGTTTCTTAAATTACAGTATACTGTTAAATTGTCAAAGCATTAAAGGCATAAGGTGAGATCAAAGCATAAGCATGCATCCAGAATATAGGCCTTTACAAGGAGTATAAATTCTCGCTCAGCATCTGCAAGAGTGATATTTTCACCTACCTACTTCTGTATTCTCAGTGTGATTGAAGAGTTAAGTTTATTCAGAGTAGAACCAAAGACTGATAATTTAGGGCTAATTTAATCATCTTTTGAAAACTGTGTATGCATATATGTAGAGATTGCATGTCCAGAGTACATGGGCTATAAAGCAATCACTTCACCACAATGAAGAAGTATCTAGGATTTACCATGAACACAACAGGTTTTGTGAAAGACGCAATATTTTTTTCAGAATCATTGTAAATTTTCTCAGGAAGTATATGTGTACGTTTTATGTCAAATATCAAAATCTAATATGTCATTTTTTCTCCTCTCTCTCTCTCTTTCTTCTTTCTGTTTTGTTGTTGTTATTTTTATTTGTTTGTTTTTCTTCTACTACAGATGGGCCTCTTGGGCCAAGAGGATTAGCTGAAGCGACAGAGATGTGTACTCAAGAATGCCTGGTTTTGGGTCATTCAGATAATTGTTGGATGCCTCCCAGCCTGGGTCCATACCAACAGCCAAAGTCTCCTATGTCTACCTTTGCATCTCAGAAAGAATGGGTTAAGAAGGACAAATTAGTTAATGGACACACACTGACCAGGACCTGGAAAGAAGATAGCAACAGAAACCAGTTCAGTGATAGAAAGCAGTATGGTTCCAGTGAAGGCCATTTCAACACTGGCAATCACATGACTGATATTCCTCTGGCCAACTTGAAGTCTTATAAACAGGCCTCAGGAGCTGCTGAGAGTCCAAAGGAGCACCAGCTATAAGAAACGGTTACTTTGGGCCAATGACTTTAGCCTACTTAGACTTGCTAATACTGTTTGTGTGTCAGAGCTTTATGTACTGAGTAGACCTCTAGAACTATGCTTTGCCTAGCAGAGATATGCATATCTTTATGTTAGCACCGTGGAAGATATGATGTCCTGCAAGATGAAAGAGTTCCTACTAGTTGTGTGGTTTTGTTAAATAGACATGATTAAACTCTGCAGCAATCTCTCCAGTTTGAGAATATTCTTTTATTGTTTGGTTTGTTGTGTTTTGTTTTTTTTTTTGACCCTGGACTGCTGCTATGAACAACAGAAGATACATTTTGAGAGTGGGAGAGCGAGAAAGCTCATTGGATTGAAATGATTGAAAAGAATATCCAGTTAGAAAATTGTGCTTTTGTTGTCATTGATCTATGCTGGGACCATTATACTTGAGAACATATAGCAAACAAAACAACTGAAACTGTAAACATTAAACCTATTGTGCTATTAATGCTAGTGGACACTTATAAGTCAATCAGTGTTCAAATACTTGTAAATAGAAACAATTATTACTTACAAAATTTGTGTACTTATAACATTCACTTGAAAAGATACGGTAGCATATTTCTGTGTTTCAGAGTTGCTTTTTACTTTCTTCATTTGCTTCCTGTTGTTTTGCTTTCATTTTCAGTGATGGTGTTTCTGTGTTAGTAATCTGTCTGACACACAGTGTTCCAAGGAACTCAAAACACTTGTGTTAAAAGGAGAAAAAAAAATAAAAAATAATAATAAAAAAAAGATTGATGAGGTGAGAGAGAAGGTTGCTGGTAGAAAGGAGAGCAAGAAGAAAAATGTTTTTTTCTTTCTAGTAGTAGCGAGTGATGCAGGCATTAAGGTAGTTTTTTTTTGTTTGGTTGGTTTTTTCCAAATATTAAGCAGAGAAAGGGCATGTGTAAGGGCTTTAAAAAATTGCAACTTTTTTTTTAACTTCCATTCTGTTTCATAAAACAGGGAAACTGCAGAACAGAGGAGTATTTAGATTCTTGTTGATACAGTGAGTAAGGGAGAAAGCTGCTAATATGGAATCCTTGATCAAGTTAGCTTCAGCCTGGAATTTAATGAGTGGCAGCTGACATTGATCTCAGCTGGAATTTATGAAGGAAATTATAGAGGAAGAAAATACAATAATCATGTTTTTCCAATTGGGCAAGTGTGTGTCTATACTTAAGACAGTTTGTATTGCTGAAACAGCAGCATTTGTGTGGATCTTCATCTGCGTTAATGTTGTAGTAACACGAGCGTTTTTAGACCATAGCCAGAGAATATTTAATGTGTTGTGCCTTCATGATGTAACAGAGCATTCTCCTGGTAGGCTAGTTGGGGGAAATAAAGGGTTAAATCTCTAATTATTGCTGTTTAATTGTTTGTTATCATAGTTGGTCAATGCCTGGCAGGTACCAGTATCATGTCACCTCCGTCAAACCAGCAGAGTGACTACTAATGTTAATAAGATCTAAGTTGCACGCAAAGCAAATCCAAGTCCAAACATTCTTAGATTGTTTTTGTTAAAGCATGACAGATTATTTACACAAATAAATAGCATGCAAAAGTTTAAAAAACGTCCTTGCAGAAAAATATAAAAAAGCAGAAGTTATGCCACAGTGAAACATCAATCTTAAAATAACAGTTAAATAACCTGAAGGTGATTTTATTCTTACCACAAACACATTATTTTTTTCTTCTTTATTCTTTTGTACATAGTAATTCACATTATTTTCTTCTTCCACATTATAAACGGCATTAAATGGGTTAGGGGTGCATTGCTTATTGCAGTACTTATGTCAGTTTGTGAGGGGTGTTTGATGACTTTGACAGAATAAATATCTAACCAGTTATCCTTGTTACTGCTTTGCCAGTTCAACATTATTTAGTTATTGAGCTCTTGCAATAAATGTTCTGAATTCCTGATTGTGTTGTGTTAGTTCTTGGGCAGATGCCTAAGGGACATGATTCCTGTTGTTTCTTTTGTTATTTGTTTGCTTCATTCTGAATTTCCAGGTTTTTGTTTAAGCATATCATGGTCCATTTGGTTCTCATAGATATGTATTAGAATGGAATATACACAAATGATAAATGCTGAGGGCCATATTCTGTTGTTCCTCTAGTAAGTAGGAGTTTGTTTAAAAGGATTATTTAAGTAGCATAAAGTTTTACTTACCCAGAACAAAGATGACATAATCTGGCCCAGATTAATTAGATATGCATAAATACATGTAATAAGCATTCTTTCACAAGTCTTTGTACAGCTAGCTTATGGAAAGGTTAGCATTTAGCACAGGTCAGTGTTCCTTTTGAGAACAGAGAAAACACAGCAAATACTTTCTTACAAGAAAGTGTGCAAGATTATATAATGACTTTTGTTGCAGCGTGGTGGAGGAAAAAAGGCAAGCAATCTTGAAAAAGAAGTAACAGTAAAAGTAACCTATTTTTGAACACGCTGAGTTTCAAAGTAGAGGTGCATCAAGTTCTATATTAAAACTAGAAATACCATAAATATTTGCAAACTCAAATAACACCAACTATTTTAAGTGCCTTTTTAAACAGATTATATTTGAAAAAGAAATCTCTGAAGGACAGAAATTTACTTCTTCACAAATCAGAACTCACAATGATGCTAATAATGCCACAGAAAGAGAGAGTACTATTTTGCTGCCATCAACCTGTGTAGGAAGAGCACAAATAAATATGATTGAAATTTCTTGCAGGTAATTTCTTTCCCATCTTGGTTTTTTTTTTTTTTTTTTTTTTTTTTTTAATAGTTCTAAATCCTTAAAGCCTCAACTAACTTTTATATACTTATCATATTAAATCAACAAAACAAACATGCAAGAAATAAAGAAATAAATACCTCTAGCAATGAGGACTCAATCCCATCTGTAAACCAATGGGTTTCACAGCGCCTGAAATTGGCTCTAAGCCTATATTCAGAATGTACTCATTCCTTTTGGTCAACCATGAATATTAGTACTGCTGTATAAAACAGAAAAATAAGAATATATATATGTAAATCAAAGTTAGATATTGATAGGAATTTAGTGATATTCCAGACGAGAGACTTTAAAAATAAAAAGCTAATCCCACTGCACAGAATTAGAAGGTGGCTGAACCTTACTGAAGTTTTCTACATATCTTCGAAGTAAAAGATAACTTAAAATTATTGGTAAGCTGGCATGATATGGATGCCATTCTCATGCCAGTTCTAGCTTTGTTTCTTCAGATAGGAAGATTTATTTATCATTGTTATTATTTTACGTACACATTTGAAAGGACTACTAAAAAGATAAACTTTTTTTCAAAGTTTCATTATTTTTATTGTTGCTGACCAAAGCTCTTTATCTAAATAGAAAGTTTATGGATTTTGTTAATCCTTAATCTCTGTCTGTGTGAAACTCTTACTATTTAGAACATCTTTCCCAAGCAATTGTCTTGAAAGACAAAAATGTATATGGAGCAGAATTAAGGAGTGCTTATATTAAGGAGAACATCAATTTTAATAGATATGAAGACAATGATAATGATCACATTATTTATCCAATGTGGTGATTATCTTTTAGCAAGTTATGAATAGGAATCATGATCAGAAAGAATATTAGGACTTGACCATAGATTAGACAAGACTAATAGTAGTTTAGAAGTTTAGGGATACCTCTAAAATGGGTTACAAAAATATTCCTAATTATATAGGAACACTGCAGTGCTATTATATCCAGTCCAGACAGAAGAACAAGTACACTGTGGTAAGACTAACTTGCTGAGACCACAAAATATTTACCTGATTCAGATGATAGATCTTCCTTCTGACATGTAGACTTGCCCTGAGAAAGATGAACAGTAAAAGTTCTCTTGAGCATGTGTGCTCACGTGTGCCAATTCAGATAGTGAAAGCAACTACGTACTCACAGCATCATCTCTAAATGCTAAGTTATTTCTTCTTTAATACAGTTAGGCATAATTGTATTTCAAAACCTCAATTTTATTTAATTTATATGCTTCCTGTCCTTTCTGCGGTGTAGAAAGTTTTCATAACCAATTCTGGAGCTGTGCATCATGTTTTACTCTGTAGGAAACATGATACAATATCACTCAGAGATGTAAATCAGTTAAATTTAGTGGAAAGTCAAGCTCAGAATAAATTAATATTAGATTTTCAACATTCACTGCTGGTCACTTTTGTGAACGTACCCATCAAATATAATTATCCCATAACACTGCGCCTCTTTTTTTTTTTTTTTCAGTTTGGCTTCTCCAATGTAATACTTACACAGCTTTTATTTATTTATTTATTTATTTATCTCTTTTTTTTTTTTTTGTTCTCAACCAATTAGGCATAGCAAGGTCATGAAGCAAAGGAACAGGTTCTGACTTTTCAAGCTATCATGAACCACTTGTGAAGAAAAATGTCAGGATCTGGCCCACATTTACTAATAAAAATAGCAAATCCTTTAGTATGCAGTAGATTAGCAAATGCTTGAAAAGAAACAAATTTGTAATCTCGAAATTCAAAAAACTCATTGTAGTTTATCCATAAACTGAAATTAATGTTAATAAATGCAGAATTAGAAGCTTTTTTTTTTTTTTTTTTTCATGTAGACACATCACTTCATTGAAGACTAATGGAATTTATGTGCCGATAAAGGCATGGATCCTTATCTTGCAAAATACTGTGCAGCTCTCTGAGACAATTAGTGCAGTTGATTTCTCTAAAACATAGCACCAATCACCCTTTTGTAGAAGCTCAGCATTTGACAAGACAGCGTCCACAGTGAGAATAATATCACAGACATGCATGCCATATGCTAAGTTTTGAAGCATGAATGCTTTCTCTAACTACAACAGTTCATTTCTCTACCTACAGCTTTAACACTGCTACTTAATTATCCTATAACAAAAGTATGCTTTTAACTACCAGAAAGGATCTCCATTTCTCATTGTGTACTAGAAAAAGAAAGAACTGAAATAAATAAATGACCCTTATCTTAAACACCATGACTTATTTATTTATTTTTTTTTTTTTACCACAGCCATTTTTACATCACCTGTTGTGCCTAGGTATTGCAACACATTCTAATATTGCATGGCATGTAAATAGATACCTTAATTATTCATAATGATATGATTATATACACACATATATATATAGATTATATATATACTTAAATATTATCAATCACATAATTACTCAGTATTATTTAATGGAATTTTGGGATTATTGATTTTGTTGTTTGATGTACTTTAGAATGTATGAAGCAGCATATTCTTAAGACTACCCTCACCAATGCTTTTGATTATTTATTCATTAAATAAAGTGCTTTCTTTTGCTTGTTATAATCCTGTTTGTACAACCATGTGATAATGTTAAATGGGTAAGTACTGTACGGGAATTATAACTGTTTCTTCTTTTGTCTAAATATATACCTATAACAATATTTATTAGTGATATGAGTTTTAAGAATGTGTCTTTCTATGTGTTTACTTTCTCCTTGCACATAGTCCAAGTCAAAAGAAAAACTAATATAACATTTTCTCATGTAACTCTGAATGCCCCAATGACTTTTAAGTATCTGTTTGCCTCTACTCACAAATGAAATTAGGATGAAATCTATACTCTGAATCGGCTCTAAAATAAATGTATAATACAATCTGTAGTAATTGTTTACTATAGTTACAATAAATGAACATCCATTCTTCACTCTTTAGGAAAAGATAGCATAAGCCTAAATTGGGGGAGGGGTAGAGTCAAAGAGTGCTATATTAAATAGCTGATTTAACAGATGATTGAGAAACCTGATAGAGCCCACTTCCATCTTTGTACTGTAGAGAGAGCCAACTAGAATGAACTCAAACATTTCTTATAGACAAAACTGAGAATTGTTTTTGGTGACTCTTAGCTACATTAAAATAAATGTGAATTTTTAACTTAAAAAGCTAGAATTTCACTTAATATCACATGGCAAAATTCATCTTCTGCCTTTTCACTCAACGCAGTATTCCACAGATAGGTTATTGTTGTCTTCTGGAGAAGCGCTGCAGTACCATAAAATGGTATACTGGACCTAAGGCAGTTGAGGGTTCCTAGTGTATACCACACTGGACATTTTGGTTTTGTATTCACATTCTTTCAAGAAGTTCTAAATTTATGCAGTATGTACATACATCGCTCAAATGTATACACTAAAAAATGTATCTTCCTGTCAAATGTGTATGAAGACCAGAAACAATGTCAAGTGATTTCAATAACAAAGGCTAATGAATTATGAGTATCAAATTGTTAAAAAAAAATTAGTTACAGATAGCTTGCAAATTATCCATAAACTGAAATTAGTAAAAAATCATGTTACCAATTTGCAAAGACCATCAAACAAAGAAGATAATACACAATTGATTACATTTCAGATTAACTACTCTGACACTTCTACCATCTTTCTCACCTCTCTCCTCTTATGGAAAAGATCATAACTGACAAAGATGTAGTAGAAAATAATATATTTATTTCCATGTGCTATGTTATGCAGAAAGATATAGGTTATAAAAACAGTTGTGTTTTCACCTGATATTTCAATTAATTCAAAGCGACATTAAAGAATTTTAATCACATGAAAATAAAAATCCAATTTTGTATGAATGGAAAAAATACTTTTTTTTTCTATTGCACTTCACTGTTTAATTATTGTGTAATGAGTACAAAGGTAGCTGTAAAAGTGACGCCTTGAAGCTACAAGAGATACAAGGACTGCAATAACATATTTGGTAGAGCCATTTCTCAGCCACAAAGAACTATTTTTCAATATATTTACTACTATTAGCTACGTGTTTTCACTGTCAATGAACAAGAGCCTTCATACAGCATGCTTAAATCTGCAACAGGTGACCGTGTCTCTCACCACCCCTTTAATATATCACCCAACACCTCACTGTGCTCACATCCACTCTTGGATCTCCATAGACATTCAGCAAGCATAAATGAAAGTCAGTGGGTGCAATTTTTTCCTCATGGAGGAATTCAGTGACACACCTTTGCTTCATACTCACTTCCATGTGAGATGCCATTCTGTTAGACTGCCACTCTGCTGCCATCTGCCACATAGCAACAAAATGTAATGGAATATTGGTGGAAAGGTTCAGCCTCTACTTCCACACTACAGGTATCTGCCCTATGTTGTGGGACAACATAATGAAGTAGGAGGCATTACCTTTGGAGCGGACCTCCTATTATATCCTTCTTAATATTGAATAAAGAAATTTTTTCAAGAGAGTAATTTCAGGTTAATAGCTATTGCTTGGTGTTTTTAATAATACTGTTTTATAGTTTGTTTTCTTTGGGAAAGAGTAAGTTTGGATTCTGTTTACAGTTTATATACTTTTGAATTTTTTTTTATTTTTGTATTTTTTAGAACTTTTTCCAGTTGTATGATTTATCACATGGAATGGCATAGGTTTTTGTTTTTTTCTTCATGATCTTGTACTCCTAGAACACTTAAGCTATCTTCAATAAGTAGTTACTTCTACATTATTGATAAAGATCATGCATAATTACTGTCCACCATGTGGTGTTAAGTCCTCAGGGGAAAAACAAAAAAAAAAAAGGCAATCACATAAAGATAATTGGTTTTGTTTTGTTTTGTTTTTTCCACATACACACAAAAAAATCCCACAAACCTGAACTGTGTTGTGAAAGCAAAATATACAAAGGTCTATACATTTAGCCAGAACTGCATTCTTATACTGACTGATTTAACAACACACTGCTTGTTTTCTTCTTTTCTTCAGGAACCACACTGAAGGACATAATGGACAGTTATACTTCCTGATGGTTCTAAACTTTATTTTCTAAACTTTATTCTGAAATCTGATTGCAACATGATGAGTCTATGGACCGGTGTGGGATACAATCTTAGATAAGTCTTGGGTTTCTTAGTGTTAGGTGCACAAGAGAGCAACCTTTAAAATAACCTCAAGGTTTCTAAATAATAAACAGTTTTGTTTTAAGACTTCCAGAATATCCCCAAGATTAGAAACTAGTTCTCTGCTACATAGGGAATCAGAGAGCAGAACCTGTTCTAAACTTAGTAGCTAAAAGCTGTCTCTAGATCCTTTGCCATGTTAAATAATTTATCACTAATATGGAAAACATGAAAAACTCAAAAAAACGATGAATGAGAATGAAGCTATTATGTGAACCTAATTGTTAAAAAACAAAGCAAGAACAATACAATAAATAAGTAAATAAATAAATATGTGGAAGGATGGGAGAAAGATGTGTTCAAGACTTTCAGATTATTTTTTCTTTGTAAAACATCTAACTGAAGACAAATGCAATGCTAATATTGCTTCTTTATTTATTTGTTTTTTTTTGATGCCCCACTGTGTATATCCCAATTACCGTGCTGAAGGCTGACTCAGTAAACTTATAGGCAATATTTAACATAAATATACATTCTGTCAAAAAGTGGTTATTTTGTGAGGAGTACAAAGAAATTTAATTTCTCTGCAATTTTAGAAGATCAAATGCATGATTACTGTTTATAACAGGCTTGCAGTCATGGACTGTAATTCTTTGGTCCTGAACAATTGCATAATTACTAAATCAACTATATTAGCATTGGGAGTAGTCATGGATGATTTCAAAAGGGACAGTACTGATTTAATGAGGTCTCAGTCTGTAAATTTCCAAAATTACTGAAATTCTGCTTAACACTCATTGATGTGTTGGTGTGTTTGAACCAACTGCTAAACAAAAGAAGCGCTTAAAAATGAGAACAAAACAACAAAAAAGAAGAAAATTAAATTGCATTTTTCAGGATATGCAGCCACCAAAACACTATTTCCTCTCTATTTTCCATTAATCTGGCTGGCTTTACTATGGACTGGTTGATGTTGAATCTACTAAACATATAAAGATGTCATTCGCTCCAGTACTTCTTGTATTTCAATGCAAGAATAAATATGATAATAGGCCCATGGACGAAGAGTAGCTATTCTGAATTCACTGCTCTTCTCCTATATTTGCCACCCCATTTATTTTTTTATTTTTTTATTTTTTTTACTTTTTTCATAATTGGCAGCAACTGATCAGATCCAGAGGTTGTGAAGATGGTATCTTGCCAAAATAAATAGTTGGCAGTTCTGTCAATAGAGGAATTTGTAATACTTTGTGTAGCTTTTTTTTTTTTTTTTTTTTTTTTTTTTTTTTTTGTAGTTGTTGTTCTTCAAGTTATCTATTCTGCAA